TTTTCTTGCTTTTGGCGCTTTTCTGAAAAGTGCTCCGTGCGGCGAGAAGACTGGTTTCCTGGTCAACATATCTAGCAAGCAAGGAATCCCTCTTTTTCTGATTACACTTTTAATAGTACAGACAATTACCTACAGTCGAGTTACAGTCCCACGAACCTTACTGGCGTCCCTTAAGCAACAAAAGTCGGCCATCAAATGTAGTGATTGCAAGTGTGGCTTGTTGATCTCATTACTCGAAATCTCCTTAGGGCAGTCTGACCACCTACTCAATCTTCGTGTACTTTATAAATGTCATTACTTTTTTAGTGAAATTTTCAATTTTCACTTTCTGTTTATATTTGGAAAGCAAATAGTGCAGTTGTTTTACCAGAATCTTATTAAATTTTATCAGCTTAAAAACGTAATAGGAGGTAATTTTAGTTATTACAAATGTCACGGTTTGTTCTGACCACTCAGAGGCTCGAAGATCTACGTGTACATTTTCAGAAAAAGGCCAATTTATTTTTAAAATGTGGCCTTCAAACAAGTACTTCCAAGATAAATTATTTAAAAGAAATTATGCAGTTTAAAAAGGTTAATTAGTATCTTTTCGAAAGAAAAAGATTATTAATTGCTGGGTTCTTTGCACGTGGCTTATTATTGATGTTCGTGTTTTACAATGAATTGGTTTAAAAGATACACTAAAAAGTCTCTTGAAGCAATATCATGTCTCAAAATTTGCTAAACAACAAAGTATTAAACTGTAAAAATTAACATTATTTGAACTGCTCTGAGCGCAACGTAATTGACCAAATACCTGAGCGGTTTAGATTTATGTTTGCTGAAAAATTGCCAGACTTTTTTTTAATAACCTTCTTTGTTTATTTGGCCATCGTAATTATTTATCGTAAATATCAACCCATACAGAATCACGACGCTTATCCAACAGTCCTATACAGGCCCTTTCTTGTGAAACTTGACTATAATTGCCTCCCACAGTATTTTATGAGCCTTCTTCAAAGTGCAAAATCTTTTCAAATAATACCCTTGCTTGCAAAATTATTAAAGTATTAACTAAGAAAAAAGTTTCGAAAATTTTATATTGTAGCGTAAGTGATCCTAGTTGTATTCAATTTTAAAAATCAGATATCTGTCTTTCAACAAAAAATCAAACCAAAGTAAGGGATCTTGTGGCGTTTACGAATCGTGCGGGGAAAATTTTGGTATAAGTCAATCCATGCATCTTTTCAGTAATAGTTTGTTTTGAAGGACGTGGTTAAATTATAAAATGGTGTCTTTTAATTAGCACTATGGTAGTGTCTTTTTTCTCAGACTGATTCGTTGCTCGGGAAGATTCAAAGAAGCTGTTAATGCTGTAAACAAAACAAAAAAAACCTTAAAAGAAAAACGATTTGGTAGACGAGCATAACTAATTAATTATTGTATAAGTACTATTATTTTAGAGTTTTTGGACTTAGGTTCTAAGACTAGAGACCATGTCGTTTCTATAGATAGTACTGTTCTTCCGGACATATGCAACAAAACGCAGTCGCTAAGGCGCCGGGGAATTCCGGTTTTTTTAGTTTTTGTTTTTCTTTGTTTAAACTTTTGAAAGGTTTTTTTTTTTCTGGTTGGTTTTTTATTGATAAATTTGACTCTCTCTTGAAGGCAACCGACTGCAGATGTTTTGTGACGCCGCAAAAGTTACTTGTATTGTACGTAAATAAAAATGAGCAGGAGATTTTATTAATTTTAAAATCGTTACGATGGGCTACTTGTCTTTTGTGTACACTTTGACCTCAGAGAGTCCACAAAGTAAGTGGAAATTTCAACGGAATCGTTTAATCATTACTTAGTTTTTGTAACAATTTTTACAGCAGATTTGCTTTTTTTAGCCGGGAAATTTTCTGGGGTTTGATAATAATAATGATAGGAAAATATTCCAAGAATACCAAACGAAGCGAAATTCATAAAATACGCTAAAGTTAGCATGAAAGTGTTTTCTTTAAATGTTTGCTATTTTGCTTAACTTTTGCTTAAAGATTATTAAAAATATTGCATGAAATGAAGTAGTAGTCAAACAATTAACTTTCGTTTATATTGAATTCTAGCAATTTAGAAAAAAAGGCTTCACGTGCGTTAGCTGCCCAAAAATGTCATTTTGAACCGAATGTGAGTTATCTGTTCGTAGTTGAAGGATATCATTACATTCTTTTGATTCGTAAATAAATTATTCTTCCCTAGTACGGATTTGTTGCAACATAAAAAAGGAAACAAAGTACATAATTACGAAGCCAAAAGAATTCAATGAAATTAATTTTTAAAAGTCAGCTGAACATTTAAAAAAAATCCGGAAAGGAGTGGACTAATCGTGAAGGACACTCTTCCATTTTTATTTAAAGATAATTTCGCTTTGCTAAACTGCGTCACTTTGCTGTTAATAGAGAATCGGTGAATCGAATTAGCGATGCATGAAACCTCACCGTAAGGTTTAATCAATTTTTAGCAGCCGAGCGATGTTCCCAAAAGTAAGTTTTGTATTAGTGTAAACGAAACGAGAAAATAATAAATACAGGCTAACTGATAGCAGGAACTTGTCTTGTCGCGCTACTAAATTTGAGGGGCAGTTCGTATTTGTTTGTGTTCAAGTGCAACGTACCACTGAATACTTTTGCCAGTTTGCAAGTATATCTATTTCACGAATATGTAACGTTATTAGACTGACTCAAAAAATGAAACAAGTTTGAGAGAAATCGCGTCGAGTTTCTGCGAAAAGGAATATCAAATTGTGAAAGTCGTTTAATTTGCTGGTCAGTTTAACAAAATTCCTGTTGTTTCTTTGATGCTTCCGACCAACGTTATTTGGGCAACAAATGGTTAATTTTGAATTTGTGGGAGGCCAGGAAAAAGATCCCTCATTAATTTAATTATTATCAGTAGTATTTTTTTAAAGGATTTACGGAATAGGCTGCTGTTAAAACCGATGTCCAGTAACTGGTACAGGAATTTTAAAGCCCGAATTTTTATTGTATATGTGGTATGGCATTCTTGTTTGTGTATACGTTTTTGCTTGATACCACGGTTTATGTTTACATAACCCTAAAAGATAAGTCAACCTGTCCTCATTTTAATCCTTGTGAATCTGTGGCTTTAAGAAGCTAATCCCAGCGGAAAAGGCAGTAAGTAGGTGCTCTTATAAAACAAGCGACGAATCTGGAATATAGACGAGAACTTTCACTTGTTCAGTTTGTTGCGCGATATTTCTGACATATCGGGTATATATTTATATATGTCAGCAATTTTAAACAAATTCGATCACTCCCAGCTTAAGGAAGGCAGCTAACAGTGGACTGTACGTATGGTGGATTGAATCGCTATTTTTTTCTATTGCGGTTTTTAAGAGTCTCCGTTAATTACAGTGAATTATACCCAAGACAGACTTCTTGACATGACTTAGCTGTGATGCGTTTGAGTTTCAATATACCACCGTTTGGGCCCTTGTGGGCGGCTTTTTTTTCGCTTTCAATTCTAACCAAATCGTCTTTCATTGTCAAAGACGGCCAGATAAACACATTGTGTGAAAATTACCATAAAACAAAAAACCAACGGCGATCCATGTAAGTGGGCTATTGTGGATTAGGAATTATAATTTGCCGCTAGTGAGACGAAGCCGCCATTATTTGGAAAGAGGCAAGGCGCGTTATTGTAACGAGGCGGTACACTTTGCTTCACAGCTTTCCTCGCCTCTCATATTAAACGGCCGGGAGGTGATTGTTTCTAAAACAGATTGCTTCTACGAAACGGTGTCGAGATTTGCCCCGTAAAGTTGTTGACATTTATAAATGAGTGAAAATTAGGCCAGCGTATGCTAAACAGTGGTGACTGAATAGGGGTCACAAACCTTTACTTAGATGAAGTACTCGACCGTCACATAAAGTCATTTTACAAATTGACACTTTTATAACATGACGGAAAACCAGCTTAGTGTCCAAGAGCCTAACCAGTGAGTGTGGCAGGTAGTTACCAACATCGCGTTAGAATGTCAGGTTTAATAATATAAGTACTTCAAGCATTGCCTTTAATTAAGCGTATTGCAGGACCCGATAATAAATTATGGAGCTGCAGAAAAAAACCACAAAGAACAACAATTGCAAAAGAACAACAAAATTGTCCAAACAAGCAAAGTTACACTCGCTAGTGTTGGTCCCGTATGTCTACTGACTGTTTTTCTTAAACGATTTGACCCTGTGGTTCTACTGCCCCAGTGCAATGTCATTTACGTTGACTTAATATTTCACACCACGTACGGCATGTTTAACTTCGAGAGCGGCCCAACAATTATTAATATTCTCTAAGCAAAGAAGAGTTTATTGTGCGGCGGTGTGATTGGTCGACGTCTTTGCGCACCGTCAAACGTATTCGGCTTCTATTTATTGCTAAATTTCCTTATTTATGAATTTCAATTATTTTTCGTCGTTCACGGTTGCTGATTGGTCTATGGTCCTGTATTTAAATATCTATGGTTAATTACTTTCCTGACATATCAGAACGAGGTGTGACTTTTATTCATTGACGGCTAATTAGGAAGCTGCTTGGATCGACGGAGTAATAATTTCATTTGCAGTCGATCATCTGGACCAGTGAAAGTTTGTTATTACTTCGCGCTGCACGGACCTCCCGTCATTACGAGCAAAAGAACAGCGAGACAACACGCGCTATGCATTCCGAGGAGAAGAAACAACCCACATCGTTTTCTGTGAACCACATCTTACAAGCCGCCGAGAACACAATGTCTGGTGAAAGAGCAAGAGAGACAGACGGCGCAAATACTGACAATTCCAGCGAAGACAGCAATGTCAAGATTACCCTGGACGAGGCGGATTTGTGGCGGAGATTCAAGTCACTGACCAACGAGATGATAGTCACCAAAAACGGAAGGCGAGTAACTTAACTGAGACCACCCTTAAAAAAAATTGTTCTGAGTGCATTTAATTTAATTTTCGTGTTTTATTTATAGACGGATGTTTCCCGTACTCAAGATCAACGTCACTGGACTAGAGCCTAAAGCAATGTACTCTTTCTTGCTCGATTTCGTGTCCGTTGATGGTCACCGATGGAAGTACGTGAATGGAGAATGGGTGTCAGGTGGAAAACCAGAACCTCCGACCCCTAGCTGTGTATACATCCACCCTGATTCGCCAAATTTCGGAGCACATTGGATGAAACAGCCCGTAGTTTTCTCCAAAGTGAAACTGACCAACAAACAAAATGGCAATGGGCAGGCAAGAAAATTTCTCTTTTGTGTATTTATTTTATTTTACGCGGCATAAAAGAAAAACTTTTTCCTAATCAGACTTCAAAGAAAAAAAAAACTTCACTTTCTTATTCGGCCAGTTTGTTCTGGGTAAAATTTAATAATGGCCAGGTCAGTGGATGATTGTGTTTAATGTTGTTCACAAAGAAATTAGCTATTGAATGAAGCACGTGAATTTAAGTATCTCTTGATTTATCTCAAACGTTATTTTTTTGTCGTTGCAAAACCGGCTAATTATTGAATGGCTGTGTCTTTTTCCTTTACAGATTATGTTGAATTCCTTACACAAGTACGAGCCAAGAATACACATCATTCGTGTGGGTGCACCGGAAAGCAATAGAACAGTGGTCTCGCATTCATTTCCAGAGACGCAATTTATCGCGGTAACAGCTTATCAAAACGAAGAGGTTTGTTTGGCATTGATTGCAAATTTGATTTCTTAGCTTGTGGTCTTTCTTTCAGTAGTATCCAGGGAAATTTAATGAGGCTAAAGAAAATTGCTTTCTATTCTTATCATCGCGCAGATTACAAGTTTAAAGATAAAGTATAACCCCTTTGCGAAGGCTTTCCTGGACGCGAAAGAACGGTAAGGATATATCGTCACGCGCTAGGTTGTGAATGCCTTTAATTATTTCACTTTTTTTGTTCTGAGTCTTATAAATTCTTCTAACTTTTCAGGCAAGAGCAAAAAGAGGCCCTAGAGCAGGCTGTGGAGTCTCATTCGGCCTATTCGCAATGTGAGTTTGTTATTTCACAACAAATTGATTTGTTATTTTAAGAGATGTTTGTGAATTGTACACTTGAAATTTGGTCAATCGTATGTTGTGTGATGCTTTTGGAGGGCACTTTCAAACTCTGTTCCATGATTAGAGACTCTCTGTGGCGTTAGCGCTTATGTGCGCGCGTCAGCGGATCGTTGAAAATCGTTAATGCCCGTGGTTTTGAGATGAGAATTTCCTCGAGCAGTCGATATTCCAATGTTAGATTTTGCAGCAAGAGGAACTGGGTTGACAGTTGGTTAAATTTTACGCTCACATTTCGCACCTATTCTGTCATGCCACGCATGATATTATTGCGCGTTTTCCTTTAGGAAGAAGTGTCCGCATTACTTAAGATGTCCTTTGTTGAAAACAAGAAGCAGAAAAAGTGAGAAATCAGCCTCGTTTTTGTTCACACATTTTTCACGCTAGGCGTCTTGTTTCGCATCACCTCGAACGCAATGTTTTGTGTTTGTTCGTGTACGTTACCAATGTCTCTTACTTATTGATCTTTCGGTTTCTAATAATTTTATTTTTGCAGATGGTTGGTTTTGCGCTGGTCCTTCGCCTGTTTACCAACACCACCATCACCCAAGACCGTACGCGCACATTCCTTCTTCGCCATATGACCGTTTAGGAATCAGAGGCCATCGCCCATCTCCGTACCCTAACCCATACCACAAGCGAACGGATTTGGCAACACAAGGTAACTATCTCTCTTTCTCGCAAGTTTGACGATATTTTGCTGAAAAAACGTAGAAAAAGGTTGGCGCTAGGTTTGAAAACTACTGATCCGTGAATCTATTTGGATAATTGCATCAAATGAACGCTTTCCTTTTATACACCAAAAAATACCAGTTTACGTGGCTCACGATCGAAGGCCGGAAAAATGTTCCATTGCCCACATTTCGAAAAACAGGATAGGGACCTGTTAATTTTTGAAAAACTTCCTTTAGCGGTGCCTTAAAAATATGGCCTATGTATATATATGAGTTACGTTTAAAATACAGTTGAAAAGGAGCAATTCTTGACGGGAATTTTACTCTTGTCAAAATTGTCCAGGACATCAACGGCATTTTGTCAATAGAGAAAGATTCACTTTTTATTGTGATATAACAGAATGATTGCTGAAACAATAGTTCGTAAGTAAAATTTAATAAAAGTTCAATCGATCGAAAAGATTGCCCGAATGGAACATAGCTTAGAGAGAAAAAGACAAAAAGAAAGAACCATTTAGCTTTCCTTTGGCTTCATCGCACATCAGAAGGCGACTTAAAATATTCGTTTTTTGACTGGAAAGTAATATACGGAGACCAGCAAGTTATTGAATCTTTTTTTACCTTTGTAAGTTGCGCAGTTTGTGCAGCTGCCCTCTTTCATTGTCGAACGAAGAATGGGCCTGAACACTTCATACAATAGCTCAATCGACCAAATGGCGCAGACGCAACCCCCAAACCCCATGTTAACCTTCAAAGGCGTTCTATGCGGCCTAAACAAACCTCCCAACCAGCTTGCTTATTTTTTTCTCCTATCATTTAACGTCAGAGAAGTCGAGAAAAAACTATCTGTTTAATCACTGAGCTTATTTTTTTTTACGGTAGACCTTTTACAAAGCTTCCCACCTTGACGGTTTTTTTGTCGCAGTTTTTTTTATGAAATTAATTTTTACAATTGGTCTTAAAGGTAACATGCGATCTTGTCATTCTATAAAATGCGTATTTTATTCCGTGCTGTAAATACGAAATAGCTTTAGTCTGGACCATATGCCCTTCTAATAGCTGAAGGATTGTTTTCCAAATCAGATATTACTTTGAGAAAACCAGCCTGGGCAACGGGACTTGAAAATTTCTTTTGGCTCATTCTGTAACCTCTGGCAACGGACGGTAATCTGATCATAAGGGACTTGCTAAAATGGTGTTCCTTTAATTTCTCTCTTTTACACAAAAAAGTCGAGAACTTTACTAGGCAAAGAGTCTACTAAGACGTGGGAATGTATTCAATAAAATGACGTGAAAGGAAAGTCTTTGCAAGTCAACTTGTTTTGAAGTATTCAAATATAACAGCACTCCGAGTTAAATAGGTGACAGCTCATCTAGTTTTACTTTTTATTCTCGGTAAAACTACGGTTAACGCTGAACGCTGAATTGATAGCTATTTGGCTTATTCTTGATGCAATCTCGAAAGACGTAGAGGTAATATAGATTATTTTTACAAGGCAATGGCTTAATCTCTTTCTTTAATACGTTGCACAAATTTTGTGGTTGAAAATAAATGTGGTCAAATTTACTTTTGAACCCCTTTAACAGCGTTAAAAGAAAACTACTCTTTTACCACTCCCACGATTGGATACGGTACTTGTAACTTTTTAGTCTGAGGATGAAATCTAATGGTGTCAGCATTCAAATGAAACCTCTTCAGCGGCACTTTCGTACTTTTGTCATTCAGCATTTTACAAAGTAAATCAAAATTTTTGTTCTGTTTTTACTTTGTCCCCAGGGTTAAGCACGTCTCTCATTTGCGTCTTCGATCATTCAAATGAAACCTCTTCAGCGGCACTTTCGTACTTTTGTCATTCAGCATTTTACAAAGTAAATCAAAATTTTTGTTCTGTTTTTACTTTGTCCCCAGGGTTAAGCACGTCTCTCATTTGCGTCTTCGAAGTATACTCAGCCATTTTTCTTTTTCATGTTCTCAGCTGTAGCTCACGCACCTCAGTATTTTCCAAGCGACTCCAACCAGCTGATTTTACCTGGCCCCACAGCTTTGGACAACATTTCCATGTCAACGGCCTCGCTTGCGACGCACTCGCATCACACGCCAGCCGGCCCTCATCAGCTACATCCCGGGCTGAGCCCATTCATGGCCAATTCTTCCTACAGCTCAGCTTCTAGAAGTACTATCGATATGGACTTGGCTCATAAGGAAACTGACAGATCGAAATGTCTTCAACCGCCTGGGTTGTCTCTCCATCCAACTTGGAATACTCTGGGTCAAGCCTAATTCTTTTAACGGCAGTGGGTCAGTTTTCTTTCGCAGAACGTAAAAAAGTTAGTTTTTGTAACAAAATTAAGGTTCAACTTTAATTAAGGAAAAGTGTTCAAATCAAGCGTACCAGGCATTGATGACATTCTTTTACTTCACTGTAAATGTCTGATTCAAACTGCTCTTGCGAAAGAAGACAAAATTATAGCCCTCTTTCTGGGAGGATAAACAGCTAGTCCTAAGTTTCGTAATCATCTTTCTGTTAAGCATTTGCTCGGAAATTGAAGTTAAGGCTAAAATGTCTTCTTGAAAAACGATAGATCTCTCTGTACGGGGATGGAAACTGTATGTTCTCCGTTTCAAATTGGCGGTATGATCTCATTGTATCGATCGCAAATAGAACGTAAGCTGTCAGCTTCTAAATTGTCTAAGATAAAAGTAATTTACAAGAACAACTTCTTTATTTAACAATCATTTTCTATATAGCTTTGGACGTCTTGTTCTGGTCATTTTTTTGGCCTCTTATTTAATTTATTTAAAATCGTTTCTTTCTGGAAATAAGTTGAAAGACCAATCAATTTAGTTATCGTTTGTAAGGATATGTACATAAACTAAAAAGATTTATTGATTCAAAAGGAATATAACGGGTAAAGTCCAGTGAGAGAAATACAGTATTTATTAAAAGATGATTTAAATTACAAGAATGAAAACTTTTAGACGATTAGACCTTGTAAATATCATTTGTAAAGAAGCGGTTGTGTTGATGCATGTTTTACGCAGAAAAGGACGTTCTTCACGCGAGAGTGAATCTCGCAAATCAAGTGTAGTGTTCCAGAATGATTTGTGCAGTGTTGGGATGTTAAAGAAGGGTTTAATTTTGACTGGAGTTGTAAAGTCAAGTTCTTGGATAAGCCTGAATTAAAGAGTCAGAAAAGGGAACTGGATAAGTTGTCTTATTTTTATGCTCTCTTGTTTATTTTGGTTTGCATTTCCAATAAATCTGATGGCTGTTAAAGGCTAAATGTACTTTGGATTCGCTCTAACAAATGCCAAGCGCTCGAAACGGCCGTTTTTCAATCTCGTTACGGTGGTAAACTGACTCAAGCAATGATTAAACCAGATCTTCGTGTTTCACTCCCCTATCGACGCAGACTATAGTATTTCTTCGAAACTCGCAACTCTAACATATTTTTTGGTCTGCCCTGCACAATATTTAGTTACTTCCAGTTCGAGTCCAGTAAAATGCTAATTTCTACGACTTCGAACAGAGATTTAGCAGGTCAGGTGAATGCATGGGATGGAATTGTGTGGTAACGTAAACAATGTCAGCGAGGTCCTGAGCAAGGCGGGCTTATCTTTAAGGAGGTGCCCAATTTTCCGCGTCACTTAAAAGTTATACTCGGTGTTGTTTTTAATAAGTAGAGGGGTCAATTGGCGTGAAATTGCGCATGAGAAAACGTCTTCGTGTGAATTTACAGTCGAAAAGCGATCTTCGTGTCTGAGTTAAGTGTCCGAAGAAAAGAAAACAACTAGTTTACCACTCCTTCACACTAGCTTGCTATTCAAAAACACAACAACATCGACATGTTGATAAAAATTGCCACTGTGTTATCTTTTTTCCTGCAATTTTTGTAACACCTTGCGATGTTTTCGTTCTAAATACCACACGGAAATATACTGAGCGTAGAATTTTTGCGTCGTGTTTACTGGATAACGTGCACAGAGTCCTTTCAAGAACGCCATTTTTACCGATCTTTAATTATTATTTTTTGAGTCTTTGTAAAGCGGCATTGCTTAGCCACATGCCGGCAGCGTTTCAAACGCATATTCAATTAATTTGACCTTTGTTTTTAACACTGAGGTGTAAATTTGGACTACAATAGATAGTCGAGATTGACAAAGGTTAATAAAAAACGTTTCAGTCTCCGAAATGATTGAGTTTGGCAGTCTCGAGCAAACATCCACTTCTATAAACCAGAAGGTGACCCTTTTAATCATACTTGAACTCTTACCACCATGAAACCATCCCTGTGCATTTCAAAGAAAGAGAGACTCTTGAGTTTTCTTGTCTCGTGTACCTGTTTTCGGCACTTTGATCATAAGAGTCGTTCTTTAATCAGCCTATGATTGTGGTCAGCTTTGTTTGCTGAAACTTGCTAAACTATATTACTTTCGACGTCCTATGTTATGGTAATGAAGGGTTAATAACCGGAGTCCTATGTTATTTACTGCTTTCTGTTAATCACAGAGTTTATTGAAACTTTATATTACGGACGCATCTTTCTTTGATATGATAATTTAACTGAAATCGATGCGGCTTAACTATTGTTTTTAAGAGACCCGGTGCCCGCCTAACCGCGCATTCCGCTGGAATTTTTTACAATCATGGCCTTTCGATGACTTTGCGCGACGCGAAGAAAAGAGACGTTTTTCATATATCTTTTCAGAATGCGCTAAAAAAGCTTCTTGCGATGCGTAAATTGTCATGTAAATGGACATATGATAATTCAAAAGTAAGCACCAAAACACAAGTTTTAGAGCAGTAATTTAAGGGCTAAATCTCATTAAACTACAAAGTCTAACTTAAATACGAAGTTGGGACATAGAGTAAAGTTTGTCTGTGCACCTCTTCTAGGACTCGGGGAACCTGTTACGCTAAAACAACGAAAAGTAAACACCGAAAAAGTAGTTTGGCATCGTAAAGTAACGAAACTGAAAGAATCTTAACATGTATGAAAGGATGAAACGATGGAACTAGAGTAAGCCTTGTCCAAGTGTGACCCCGAATGGATTGGGCCCATTTATTTTATCAATAAATGTTATTTCACTCGCATTCTCTGATGAACAAATAACTATAAATCGCGACATTTGCTTTCTTCAGTGTTCTTTATTCAGTGCTACTTGGTCACAAGTGTGGAACCAAAATAAGGGAAAGAAAATAAATCAGATTCGGTTCTTTATCCAAAGCAAAGTTTTTTTCAGTTTTTTTCTTCCTTTAAAGGGATTTCTGTCCGGAAATAACTGACGGGCAAGCTGCCATCAGCACATGAATGTATATGTTGTAGTTAATTTTTTATCTAGATAAAAAATTAACTACAACATACACATTGATTTGAACATCTTGACGACTGTAGTATATTAAATTGGAAACCGCAGGGGAGGGGGTGGAGAGTAGTTGTTGCAGAGGTGAGTTACGTGTACGGTTATCCTCTCTGAATAAAAACCGTTTTAGCCAAAAGATTGATTAGGCTCGAACCACACCCCAACAAAAAGTTGCCCATTTCAAAAAAATGCCAGAGACATGCTGAATTGGCCGGAGGCCGAGTAGAGGGATCCCCCACCCCCAAACATGAACAAACATGACCTATCAAGCTGTGATGACTTATCGTCGAGCACTAACAGTTCAGTCGGAAAGTACTTCTCGCGAGCCATTGTACACGGCGTAGTCGCGGTTTAGAATTATGTTAAAGAGAAAACAAAAACCAAACCAACAAAACACTCACGTAACTGGTAAAAAAAAAATACGAAAAAACAGTCTTTTTTGAATCTACACAGGATACCCAGTCAAAATGATATTCACTGTATCTTAACAGAAGGCATATAACCGCTGGCTTTAACCAAGGACAGGAATAGACGGCTGCTATTAGTGTAAGAGAGTGTAAGGGCTTGAAGGGTATACATTCAAGAAAGCGTTAATTATGTGTTTTACAAATGAGCAGCGTTGTTTTGTAGTTTTCAGGCTAAAAATACATTTTTTTTCTGGTCGTTTCATCAAAAAAGAGGCGAAAGCAAGTGCAGGTATCAATAGATGAATTTAGCGGTAATATTGACCAAAAAATTAAACTATGGTTATAAACTAAGGTTTGTGGCCGGTCCGCGGATTAGTATCATTTAAATTATACATAAACTCGTGCCAGTGATAGACTAAGTTTGCTGGAGAATTCGATCAAAAAGTGAACTGGTTTGTGCATACTTGACGAGAAATCCTTCTGAAATTCGTTTCTATTTTTTCAAATGAATATATTTTTTGTATTCAGAACAGAGAAGATTTTTTCCTAGCCGTGACACCAGACAAACTAACACGATAAAAAGTGTTTGAATTGGCCGTGTTTAATACCTAGTCCAGGCCCAAAAAAATATCGACAATAATTCATATAATTGATTAACTACGAGAGCAGTGTTTGTTAATATTATTTTGTACTATAATTCGTTTGATAACTAGTGCCTGAAACCTGGACACCACGCTAATATTCAGTGTTGTAAACCCGTAAATTTGTGAGCAAAGAATTGAAGTAAATAGCATGTGGTTAAGTTAGGTGTGTAGCATCCATCTGTCGGAAATTAGTACATTGAACTGAAATTCACCTTTGAAAATTTCGAAAACGTTAGAGAAAATGAATTTTTTCCTGTAGAAGGTTGTTTTGTAAGGAAGTTTCATTTCCGCTCTCGGGATTCTGTATATAACACCTAAAGCTATAGGACCGTTAAGTGAGAAATGTTTCCGAGTTCACTTTCCTGAGTTGCGATGAATAAATGAAAAATTGTCCAATATGTTGGAGAGACATCTCCTTCAGTTTTCGTTTATTTTGCTTGTAATTGTAACGAAAAAACACTGATCAAGTGTGGAATTATATACACAAACTCAATAAATTACGCTATAGGGATAATCTTCGCGCTTATTAATTTCAATAATACACGTGCGTGCGCTTATGAACTTTGCCGCTACAAACTGAAGGAGAAATATCACACGTGGGTATAATTAATGAACGCACAACTTCTTATGAGATTTGACAATTTAACAAATTTGATGCCAGACGGCTTTTTTCCCTTTCTTTTTCGCGCAAGACCTACTTTTTCAAGAAAGGTATATGATAAATTTTTACCTCACCTCGCTTATAACTGGCCTATATTTATAACGCGCAATTAGATTTGAATCGGGTTATTTTTATTACTTAATATATCAAGTCACGTATGCGAAACTTTCAGTGAAGGAGAAAATCTAATTTGTTTTGTGATTGATCTTTTATGTATTTCTCGTAAACTAAGAAGATGATAAAAGTTGTTAAGTTGTGTCTTCTTTTTGTTGATTTAATGTCAATACTGACTTGAGTATTACTTTTGAGCACTTTGTAAATTAACAATCAACGAACTGATATTCCAAGTGCTTCATCTTTTAAAGCTGAGACTCGCCCTACAACAGGCGTCAAGAAGGAAACGGTGAACCGGATTTTTGTAACCGGATATATATAGCCTCTTTAAGACAAAAAAGCCTTTTTGCCGGAACAAAATTATTTATCCCAATTTATTACCTTAGTTTTTCTTTCAAAATTAATAATTGGGATAATCATTTCATTTGAGACCTTTTCAAGGCAGTAGCACCCATGTTTTATTGAGAACTTTTCATTTTAATTCCTCTCTATTATAACCTCAATTATGACTTTAAGAGTGTGACTTAATGCTTAGGCGACCATATTGTATATGATGTGGTGCTGTTTAGTACACTGAGCACAAACTTCGCAATTTCGTGCTTTCAATAATTACTACTTTTTGGCGATGATCAGTTAACATTCTTTGAAATATCGGTATCCAATCATGATTATTATTTTTCTTTATTTCGATCCACTTCATTAATTTGAGGGCCACGTTGGTTTCATTCCTTTTCTTATTTAGACTTGAAAAGTATTAAGGTTAACGATTCCCCAGTTTAGGTTAATTTCTTAAGTGGCTTGCCAATGTTTGTGTTTCAATTCCATTAGAGTAAACATAATCGCTTCTATTTAGACAGTAGGCAAACCACAGAAAGAATGCTCTTTGCTGCCATGGTAGCCAGAACTTAACGTTAAGGTGTAGAAAGTTACGCTTGATACCGAACCCTTTTTGGTTACCGACTACTGCTGGGCTATCACATGGCAAAGCCGAAGAGGTGGTAAGGGGTTCCTCTTTATGTTTGCATTGGCCACGTTGAATTCAACCCTTTTCAGTTATTGCTATAAGTGGCCAAAAGAAAAAATTCACAAGATATTTTTTTGCAAAATCATAAGTAACAAATAGCACATGGTACAAAAGTGCTGCCAAAGAGGTTTTATTTAAATGCTAACACTTCAACGTTTCGTCCACAAATTCAAAAGTTAGATATGGGAATCAATGTTTGAAACGATCTGCACCATATTCGTCCGCTTAATATGGGATCCATCCGTAATTGCCTATAGTGTTCATTGATACCGTGGATAGTACCTTTTTGTTCTATATGGAAAGATATATATCTGCGAAAGAGGGCATTGGCTTGTATTGCGTGTTCAAAGCGGTGGACTCAGGCGAAAGGCTCTCTATCGACGGGACTCAAACCGAGAAAACAGAAAACAAATTTCTGTGCGCACGCCCGTTGTCGTAAACGTAAAGATCTCTTTGGAAATGGGTATCAGATAGGAACCCGCAAATGTGCAATGATCAAATATTGCTTAACTGTCAATATAAACTAGTAACTGGTTAATTTTTCTACATCAGCCGGAGCTCGAGAACTAAAAACTGTCCAGATTTATATTTACAGAACAGCTTTAGAAGGTAATCCGCTAATGACCAAGACCTACTGAAATTGAAAGCACGGAAATTAAGATTAAAGGTTTAAAATGGTGGCAAATACGTTAAGATTAAACAACGTATGCCTCATGCAGTACCTGTGTTAAACGGACGAAGAGAATAAGGAAAGTATATCACTTGAAATAAGTCGAAATGTTGACAATGTTTTTGGTGAAAGAGTAGGCATAGATATGGCTCATGACCCGAGGTATCGAGTTTTTATTTTTAACTGTTTTAAAGCAAGGTGAAAATACCATGCCTATTCATGTATTAACTTCTTTTTTCAAAGACGTTCTAAGAAAGATAACGATGCATTGCGTTTTGCAAGCGCAATCAGGAGATTACGTTTGGTTTTTTCTGTCACGTGACACACCAAATAAGGCTGAGGTTTGTGAAAGAGATCTTTTCGTGCAGCAACTCTGTTCAAAATGCAACCTGTGATTTTTCGTTAGGCACCAAACTTATGTTTGGTTAAAGTTTCCCACTTCAACGTTGAGGGTTTTGCCGCCTTTACTTTTTCTTGAACGCTTTTGCCTTCGTATCGCTCGGCTGTTTTCACTCATGCACAAGAGGATACAATATACTCTTCTCTTTCGAAGAATTAACCATGTTAATAACGATAGGCTGATAGGCAACTCCGAACATTTTAATTTTTTTGGAAATAGCTCACTATAAGTTCATTAGTTGCTTCTGTCGTTCAAAGGTTTTTACTGGCGAGTTTCGGTAACGGCAACGTCAGTTTGAACAATGTGACCACGTTTTTCCGTTAGTTTCTCGTTTACATTTTCTCATATCTACATAAAAATAGCCATAGGTACATTTATAGGACTGATTTTGCACAAATCTGGCGTTTGCCGTTTGCCTTTAATGTAGTTCTAAGAGCACGTTCGTTTGACTGTATTCCGGAATAGGAGTAAATGGAAAATAAACTAGAATCATTTATTCAGGAATTAACTACATGTTAGCATCTGTAAATCTGACCCCAGTTGTTCAAAAGATGGATAACTCTATCCACCGGATAAATCACTATCCACTGGATAGCGCAATTGGTTTCCCTAACACTTATCCTTTGGATTGTGATTTATCCGGTGGATAGCGCCATCCAACTTTTGAACAACTGGGGCCTGGTTGATATACAGTTTTGAGACAGCTCAAACATTCCAGTGTTCCAAAACTATCGGGAAATTAAAAGAGGTTTGTGTATTCTATTTCTGGAACACGTTCAATCGAACGCCCTCAAAATCCCTCTAATAACAAACAAGACTTCTTTAGGTGTTCTGTTTAATACAATACACACTTTTGTACTTCATCATTGAATACAACTTATTTTATATAATGTTCAAATCAAGTGTTTCCTTAAGTGACAGAAAGCATCAAACGTGTCTTGTCGTGCGCAAGTTATTAGAGACCTTAAGCAACGAGAACGTTGGCGTCCCGGACGTCACAAAGGGCAACTGGAAGTTGACATTTTTTTCTTTTTCAGTGCTCTGACTCGACAAATCCGTAAGGGTGGAGTTAAAACAAAGGCATTCCGATGCGTTGTGTGAGACAGAATCGTTCCATCAAGCAAGACATCGAACTTCCGGTTGCTTTTCATGACGCCCGGGAGTTCAGCGTTAGTCGTTGCTAATAAAGTAGTGTCAAGCCACTGACCTCCTCCCTTTTCTCCTCATCAGTTTGTCAGTATTTCAGGCATTTGAGGGCATGGAAGCAGTACTGCATACTGTTTCGGTTTCGGCTACTTTTAGCTGCCTTTTTTTAGGAGATCTCTGGTCTCAGCTATTACATATTGGTGAAACACATTGCTTACCCTCGCATTTGCAAAAGCCGACCCCTCTGCATAGTGCTCAAAGATAAATTTTTCCCGAAAACGTAGTACTTGCTCAAGCAGAACTTCTCATTGGGATTCTAGGTTTTATTATGAATTAAATCTAGAACTGCTTGACAGAAAACATTGGCAACTGAAAACTGCTTTTCTTCCTGGCTATGATTGTCTCTCCATCGTGAGGCCGATGTGGTTTCACATATCTCAACAATGGCCCAGAAAAATTAGCGTTCAAACGATGAAGAGACAGTTTGGTCAGTGATATAATTATACCCTTCCACAGGTCAACCTCTCACTATTTTAAAGACTATACAGACGCTTATAGATTACACAAGATAGTATCACCATCTCTCTCCGACAACTACGGTCTTTCAACTCGATGTAGGTAAGTCTGATAAACGAATGCATGTAAGCCATGTTATTTCGTCTCATTTAATAGAACTAAAATAATAACATTGTGTATGGTGAGAAAAGGTATCGATGATTGTTCAATCTTTAAAGTAAGAGCAGCTGATCCGTCAAAGTTCATGCGTGAAAAACAAATTTTGTTTCAGTTTTCTACCTAATCTATAACTAGTAATTGTTTACCCTTTTCCAAGGGTGTGGCGGTGTTAACCGACGACATACATGTAGTTTAACCAGCAAATGGCATTACCTTCTCCCCTATATAGTTATTGCTTATATCTTTTAAAGGTGGATTTCCACTGCCCCGTGTTTTTTACGTTTTTAATATTTAAGCGCGTAAATGAAATAGAGGCAATTTATAAAAAGTCGCGCGCGTAAACGTAAAACTTAAGAGAGATTCAACTTTTACGTTTAAGGGAGTCTGTAAGCGTGACCTTTCCTACATGGCCTCTATTTTATTTACGCGCGTAAAATTTACGGCCGTTCGCACGTAAAAATTGCGCGACACTAGAAATCCACCTTAAGGAAGAAATGAGTTACTGCGGATATTTAGAAATCAACCATGCTCTAAATCTGAACAACGCGAAAAGGAACAGATGCACTGCACTTTGCAAAATGATCAGGGTAAGAAACACAACGAGGATTGCGGTTCCTGGCTGTTCCTGATAATTAAGCATTCTGTAAATGTAGCGATTGCCATCTTTATCTCTTCCTCCTGCACCCCAGTAAATCACGGTAAAAAGCATATAGATGGATGCGAAAACATGAGAATAAATGAAATGCAAAAGGCGAACTGGGATATTGCTGATTGTTACTTCAATCAACATGAAGACCGCTGCCAGGATGTGTTCATTTACACTCACGCCGTCGATCTCCTCACCAGGAGTGTACACTGCTGCCCAGTAAGCGACGGTAATCACCAGGCTGTTGACACTTGCTATGGTGAAGATTACCCAAGATACCTTGGTCCAAAGTGACAAATCATCGTCTTCATCTTTGGCTTTAACGTACGACTGTTCCTTGGATTCGTTGCCTTCGTCTTCAGAAGACAGTCCTACGATGTAAGTTTCGGACTTGAAGCGGCGAGGTCCGAAGCCCGCCGGATCGGCTTCGACCCCCGCCCCGCAGCAGTAGTGTGTGGTAATGAACATTGCCAGCAGGAAATGAGCGGTTACGACAGTGAAGACCCAGTTGCTGAGGTAAATGAACCAGTAGCCGCCGTCATTGAAGCCACTGTAGATTAGCCATGACAGGAAATAAAAAGCGGCGACCAATCGGTAAAAGAGAAACAGAGGAAGTGGCAGCCACTGAAAGAAAAAAAAAGTACAACATAAATCTACACATCCTAGGTATGTTGAGGCTCGTTGCTGCGCTGGGCTGAAAATGATGGAAGTCGCCGATAATGGTGATGATGATGATGATGATAATGATTTTGATTGCGACAGTAACTACTTTGAAGATGATGATGATGATGATGACGACGAAGAGGGCAGCCATAGTACTTGACAGCACTGATGATGATGGTAATGGTTTTTAGTAAGCAAAGCACTTCCCCCTCCAAAAAAAGTCAAATTTGTTTTGTATAATCCGAAATGACAAATAGTACTATGCAANTTACGACAGTGAAGACCCAGTTGCTGAGGTAAATGAACCAATAGCCGCCGTCATTGAAGCCACTGTAGATTAGCCATGACAGGAAATAAAAAGCGGCGACCAAGCGGTAAAAGAGAAACAGAGGAAGTGGCAGCCACTGAAAGAAAAAAAAAGGTAAAACATAAATCTACACATCCTAGGTATGTTGAGGCTCGTTGCTGCGCTGGGCTAAAAATGATGGAAGTCGCTGATGATGGTGATGATGATGATGATGATAATGATTTTGATTGCGACAGTAACTACTTTGAAGATGATGATGATGATGATGGCGACGAAGAGGGCAGCCATAGTACTTGACAGCACTGATGATGATGGTAATGGTTTTTAGTAAGCAAAGCACTTCCCCCTCCAAAAAAAGTCAAATTTGTTTTGTATAATCCGAAATGACAAATAGTACTATGCAAAAGTTCCACCAAAAAGTTTTCATTTGAATGGTATAACACCATAGGATTTCATCCACAGACTCAAAAGTTAGAACTACATACTTAATAAATAGTACCATGTGAAAGTATTGCTAAAGAGATTTCATTTGAATGGTCACATCATAGGATTTCATCCACAGACTCAAAAGTTAGAACTACATGCTAAAGCAATAGTACTATGCATGCTGAAGAGGTTTCATTTGAATAGTAACACAATAGGATTTCATCCACAGACTTAAACGTTTGAACAACATACTAAATAAAAAGCACAGTGCAAAAGTTCTGCCAAAGTGGTTTCTCTTGAATGGTAACACCGCATAGGATTTCGTCCACAAACTTAAAACTTTGAGTGACAAACAATAACTAACAATCTTGCCATAATATTGTCTAGGATCGAAGGAGTTAAGAAGAGCCAGTACTTAATCCTTTCAATCTTTAAGCCAAACGTAAAACTTAGTAAAGCAGTGAAAGTGGTAAAGATAAGGAACTAATAAAAATATTTTGGATTTTGGGAAAGTCAAAATCATAGACCACGAAACGTCGTTTTTCTTTCCTTATAGCCCCGTGCCAGCGAGCGAAAAGTAAAATTACTCTCGGTCTACCGTGACTGTAAATAAACGACTGAGTGCTCGCAATCTATCAAAATGGCGGTTTCCCAGTAAGAGCATCCTTAAATTTTAGCAATATTGACTTGAAATTCACTCTAGACTGCTACTACTGCAATAGTTTTTATGCTCAGCAAAACTAAAAGAAAATATATGCACGTTAAAACGTTTGTTAAATTAAACTAAATATTTTTCAAATATTTGAAAAACGTCGAACCAGTATCAAACTTCAGTGTTTAATTGTTTAATGCTGTTTGTTTTATATGTGCGTTAAACTCACTGAGACTGAGCGTTATTTATTCTAACCATATGGTTTTAAGTTTCATTCATCCCATTTAGCAAAATCGATTATTCGCCGCTTGCCTATTACCCATAATACACCTTGGGGGGATTCATTTGTAGCATGGTAAAAACTGTCACATTCCCCCATGCTCCCCCGCCCCGCCCCGCTTCAGAAAAGTTTTTAAACGAATTACTGTGTATTAGTAGCCTGCGAAAACATCAGTTTCTCTTCGCTCTTCGCCGACAGGGACGGTTCGCGGATGTTTTCGCAGGCTAGTGTATTAGAGATCTTTCACATAACTCCAACACCATATGCTAATGAGTCACAATCGTAGAAAGATCCACAAACTATGTAAATGATCTTTTCGACGCACAGGCAAGATCTCCCACACCGCCTAAGCCAAAACAGGACAAACCTAAAAAAAAGGTCTCAAGGAAACGACAGCGGATGTCGGAGGAGGCCCACATGGCGCACATGAAGATATGGCAAGGCTGTGAAAATGATGAGTAAAATAGAACGCATCCTAGATAAATAGCGACGAGGACTAAACATGCGAAATATGGAGCTGCCAATTTCCTTTTGTTCATTTTTTTCAGTTGATAGTATTTGTAAGCGAAGATAAAAGCTTTTTGTCACACAATTCGTCTTTTATTTAATGGTTCTATTGGTGCCTGCCGCAAATAAAGGAAACATTACCCATGGGAAAACACCCCGCGTCAGTTTTGCATATTTAGTGGGCTTTTGAACTATAGTGGCTCTAGCTGGAGTTATGTGAAAGATCTCTAATAAGACGACATGGCTCTATTTTACAACCGACATAAATGCAAATGAAAAATGCTCCATTTCTTTAGCTTTTGTCGTTTCATTCTCAGTTTAATACTGTTGATAAAAGGTATTTCATATGTAATGCTCTTTCCGGCACACAGTTCAACAAAAATGTAACTTTTTATTTGCTTGTTTAATAATCAAATTGGAATAAATTGATTGTACATAATTTTTTTTTGACATTTTACTTTCCCCCTATATGAATCGGTAAATATCGAAACCGTCAATGCTGGCGCTGATGTACATAAAATTAAGTACACGAACATTTGTTTTTTCTTCTTACTGAGATCATATATCTTTCCCTGCCACAGAGCAATAAGAGAACATGGGCCAATGTACTTTCTATGCGAAAAACCCTTTGACAAGTGCTTTTAATGCTTGCGCATGATACGCTTAAACAAATGCAAATTTTAGTTGCTTTAGTATCGTTTGAAAAGTCAAAGATAATTTATATATTCCTGGCATAATATAGATACTTCCTGTACTTTTGTGAGGTAAGAATCGGGAAAGACTGACATGTTTTCAAAAACTGTACAGCTCTGCACACATCACCGATTGATGTAGTTAAACAGATGCAAATTCTGTTTGTTTGTTTACAGTGTTTAAGTATAAAATGCTTCTGACTTATTACTAATTCTATATGATATTACCTTTTTTCTATGTACTGATTAAAATTAATTTCAGTTCTCTTAAGGGCCACGAACACTAAATGTTGGACATTAAATTCACCTCGATTTATTGTCGATTTTGCAGAGCAAAGCGCGACTAACGCGCGTGACAGCACGCCATTCGCATAATTATAAGCATTGGTCTCGAGGTTTTGGCGGGCGCCACAGGTGGAGTGTTTATAAAGGCAATGTGCCCGATAGATTATTAGCGAACTAGTTCAAACTAATAAGAAAACTTTAGTCATTAACACAGCTATGGAGAGACGAGTTATTTGAGCCTAGTCCTTTCAAAACTATGTGTTGCTTAGCGTTTATTATCATATTTCCAATATGAGTTTGAATAATGCTGGGTGTTTTCTGAATCTTAAGTATTAATCTGTTCAGATATCGAAAAAGCGGTTCATGCCACAAAATGAAGAATCTATAAGGATGGAAGAATGACTATTGAAATTACTAGCCGTTCTACGATTCTTAGTGTCCATGTAGTAGTAACTGAAAATATCCCTCAAGCAATTCCCAATGCAAATCATGTCCAGTGTTCCTCAAAGAACTACACTCATGTAACTTATTCTAAACCACTGTTCAACTCACCGGCGAAGTTGTAAATGCACTGGAGTAAGGATGTGACAGTCTGAGACGTTTAAAGGAGAATTCTTCCGGGCAGAGACACATTTCACTCCTGAAAAGATCCAAGATGTTTCTCACATTTCCACCTTTACAAAACCAAGTGACGCATGAAATGAACACTGGTTTCTTCCAAAATGTGCAAATTTGCTGCCCTCATCCGCATTGATGCATAGCAAAAATATCCCTAAGGGAAACGTGTTTGCTTGACCAATTGAATCTCAATCATCTCTCAGTCCTATATAGGCAACAGCCACGTGAAATACAACTCCGCAATATCTGAGCTATACTGTGAATTCAACAGTGATTAAAACTAGGAGTACGAAAGGTAACGTAAACATTCGTTAGGCTTTAACATGACTGAATGCCTATAAACACAAATATAAACACACTTTACCTAATTATCAAATCAATGATGCTAAATCACCCTGGGTGGAAGTAGTGATCTCTTCAGTGAACTATTTCAAAAACTTTAAGGTGTTAAGAACAGAAATAAATTTGGCGTCTGAAAGACAATAGCGTATTGAGACTCGTTTATTTCTATTTTGTTGCCACTTTTGAATGCACACTGGGCGACAGTTTGCTTGTACTCTACTCTACTCTGTCTTTAGGATCGGGATTTCACGGTTCATCGCCTTTTTCACAAGGCATCGCCCTAAAAACACCAGGAAAACATAAAGCGATAATATACATGTGTACAACTCAGGGAGCCTTTACGAAATACCGTAGTTATGATCATAATATCTTTCTTTTTGTAAAGCGTGTAACAGTAGTTCAAAAGCATCGTTAGCACCACGCGTAAGGAATTGGAGTATAGACGGAAACACAGATCTTGGGGCCGGAGAAACTACAAATAACACTTACAGATATTTCGCTGGCTTTCCTCGGCGGGTGAAACAAAAGCCGAGAAAGGTAAACTACCATCAGACTGATCGCTGAAGGGGGTTGGTTTCCTGGGAAACAGTAGTTCTGCGTCGATAGCGGAGTACAAAAAAAATCCTGAAAATGATGAAAAACATATAACACCATGTGAGAGTACTGCCATAAAGATTTCATAATGGTCCAGTAGGCTTTTGTCCACAGACTTAAAAAGTTAGAATCACCTTACAAAACTCCATGATTCACTCTGGCCGTGAAAGAGAGCTGACTTTTAGATTGCGAGTCCTTCATCAAAGTGAATCATCATATTACGCGGCAATGTTCCGTGGTCGGTGAAAAAAGATTTACTCTGAACCTCGCAAACCGCATCAATAAACCATACTTTGCTGAAATATACAGCTCATTATTTCCGACTTACAAGCCCCTGTCAGGCTTTTTACTCAGTCTTAAGTCTACTCAAAGTAATTAAGGGAAATTTTAAAAGGATTGACACCGATGACACATTGAAAACAGTAAATATTCTTGATCACATGACTCGCCACTTGACCACTTTTTCGAAACTTTTTCGAAAACAGCCTAGTGTTACCACGGTTTACAATCCTGAAATTACATGAAATTAAGCTGGGACGTGTGTTGGGAATGTTCCAATTTATTCTTCCAATCCATCCAGGATACCTGTCTGTTTAAGGCTCTTAGCGGCGTTTTTTGGTAAAAAAGGCTAAGGCCCGTTTCAAACGTCGTGCTACTGCCGTGCTAGCCTCCCACGAAGGCGATTTTAGGGGAGTTCGCATTTCGTCCCTCCCCACAAAGAAATACGAGCTCCCCTAAAAATGCCTGCATGGGAGGCTACTGCCGTGCCGAACTAAATGCGGATCGAATTAAATGCGACTTTAGCAGGGCAGTAGCGCGATGTTTGAAACCAAGTCGTGCTATTGCCGCGTAGCACGTCGCGTTACTGCCGTGCCGAACTCAATTCATAAATTATTAAATACATTAGATTGCCTTTAAAAGTTTGCTAAACCGTTTCTTTATTTTTGTGTTTTGTTTTCGGCAACAGTCGTTCTATTCGACTGAATTCAATTCGAGGTCTGAAACCAAGTCGTGCTAATGTCGTGCTGCAGTCGAGCCAGCTTAGCACGGTAGTAGCACGACGTTTGGAACAGGCCTAAGTGTGCAAATGGTAATGCGAGTCCCAAACGGAGTTTACCTGTCCTGAATTTCGTTTACCGTTACCTTAGCCTGCGTAGCAAGCGTTTCCAGTCGAGTTATAGCGCGAAAGTTAGAGCGCGAGCAAAAAAAGAATGGAAGGGGGAGGGGTGGGGAGAAAAAAAAAATCTCCTCTCCCCTAGCCCCTTAGGAAGGCCTGATACCAGATCTGTGACGCACGTAGACAAAACATACCTGGTTTGATTGATGTATTGATTGCTATTTAATCAACACTACCAGCACCGTACCAATCAAAAGCTGCGTTCGTGGGCGAACGTAGTTTTTCAAAATCGTGGGGTTTGCGGGCAAGCGTTTCCCTCTCTCCCGTCCCCCTCCCCACTCATTCCCATTTTTTTTTTTGCTCTCGTCCCAACTTTCTCTACGAACTCGCGCGGAAACGCTTGCTATGCAGGCTACCGTTACCTTAACCATGTGCACCGACCGCTCTCCCCTTGTAAATGGTAACTATACATTTGGCTATAATATTTCATCTATAAGCCTTGGTGGCTTCCAGAGCCTTTCTTGGCCCTTTTTCTTATTATTCCTGTTATTCATGTAATAGATATCCTCTACATGTACACGCTAATAAACAAAAAAACAAAAAAAGCAAAAAACAAAACACAAACAACAACAAAAAAAAAATGCCTGGCTTTTAAGTTTATAAACGCCCTGATATGGACAGTTGTTGTTGTTCCTTTATCACTGATCCCAGGCAACCTCTCACCCACCCACCCACTTAACCTAATCTGTTTCACCACCAATCTCCTGTGGAGTTCCAGACGTATAAAGACAAATTAAATCATTCAATATCTCAATTGTTAATTTCTCAATGGTTTTCGTGTAGAGAAAAGTTAAAATGACGTTAATTTTCGTTCATGGAGGGACTTGGATGAGGAGAATTTAAGTGTTCAGGGTCGATTGGCGTGTTATTGATAAAGAGCTGAGGATCAAAGTCGTGAAATAATTCCGTTCCGAACCCGTTTCACGTTGAGCGGAATCGAAGAACTAATCAATCGCTTGATAAACCGCAAGTGACGCAAGTCAAAAGGTGATGCTAACGACTGAAAATCCTTTGCTGTTTTGGGATTTTCTTTTGAAACAAATCATTTCCTTAGGAGGCTGAAAAATCAATCTTTTAACGCTCAGATGGGAAGTAAAATGTCTCAAAAGGAACGTGTTGACACCAATCATTTAGGGTCAAAATATAAAACAGTTGATCCATCCCCGCTAGAAAAGATTCTAGAAAGGCTTAAACTTTTGTTTGCCAGCCGTATGTATTTAATTACTTTAGTTTATATAACAATAAAGATATGTTGTCCCAACCATGCCTTATTTGTGGGGAGAAACTACAAGTTAATCATTATCACATTAACTCGGGGATAACGCTTTTAAACGTCCGCCGAACCGGAACTTGTCTTTATAGAATGTCAGATTTCCCCTTCGCTATCGATCGCCATTTGAGAAGAGATTGACATCTCACTAAGTGTAAACATCGTTTTTGACTGGAACTTAAACCACTGAAGAATTCAATTTTTAGATTGTTACCCTTTGTGTTGTTATATTGCATTTTCCCACGCGCGCGGGGCCAAGAACCAGTGACAGTCATTTGCGATATAAGTCTCGCCACAGTGGAATGAGGTTTTGCCAATGTTCTCTTCCCCTCGTGGTTTTGGGATCCGTCCTTCTGTTGGCTACGAAGTCAGGTAAGCAGTATTGAGTGTAACTCGCAATTTAACCAGAGACTTTGAATTATCGGCATTAAGCAAGCCGTTTTGGGCACTGTTTAATCGCAAACATTCTCCTCCTTTCGTTGAAAGTTTGCAATGTCTGCAGTTTCTGTCTCACGTTAGCTTTCAAGGTATCGTTGTGTTGGCGAATGCTTCGACATAGCTGCATGGTTTAAAAGAACATTTACTGCCAAATGTCGTTTACTCTGTTTGGATTTTAACTAATTTGAAAACAGTACTCCATTGTCCCATTAGCCAGTTTACGTGGTCATAATAAAGACATACCTAGAATTACTGTTTGATAAAAGCATTTATTTTTCCAGCTTTAGCGTGCCATATTTTCAATCCCTGCTACAAGATTGTCCTTTGACCTCTTGTCTACGACATAACGCAAGTTCTGTCCATCACCTTCACGCTTATATGTGGAATCTTTGATAATCCTCTCCGAAATTTTGTGTCTTGGCTCCATATCAACGTCCCCCTTGCGCGCGATATCATTCATTATGTTGCTGGGTCTTGTGAAAGCTGCTCCGTGTAAACTCCCCAATCCGAAAATACGCATATCGCGCCTTTATCATAAACTGTGCTGGCAGAAGCATTACAGACGTCGAACCTCGCCTCGATTTTATCATTCTTTAACGTGTTTACCATTCCTGAGATCATTGATTTGCTGTTTCACAGTCACCAATACTTACAACCAAGTGTTACAGCAATTCATCTGAAGTATATATTTATGAATAATCATCTGGTACTGATCGCGTCCGCCAAAGTCAGTTTTATTTTGATTTTTATCTATTTCTCACAATTATCGGCAAAAATCAGTACCTATTATGACATAAACTGCACTGTTATTTATGACCTAGCTACACGCAACAAATATTGGGTCAGACAAATATTGGTAACGTATCGTATATCACGAAAACATCAAGGACAGTGTGTTGACCACTCCTTTTTTTAATATTTTTAATGACCATCTTGGCTTACGTTGTAGAAAGGTTTTTAAACTCACTGACGCTTTGGCCAGTGAATAAAGGGCCATTTCATCTCGAACATTTAAATGAGCATTTCGTTTATATTTGCGGTTTGCATACTACTGATATTTAATAGCGGAAACGGCACCCACCAGACCGCCCTGTTTCACAACGAAAAAAGGGTGGTCGCGAATTATCGCATTAACATTGTTGCATACAAAGGCGACTGAAGCAGTTTTAATACCATCTTCGATAGATCTTTGAT